CTAGCCATTGTTGCAATACCACATTGATTTTTCTTGTTTCGACTCATCCAAATGTAACCTTTTTGACCCCATGATGTTCCCCATGAGTTTTTAACAATGTAGTATTGTTTTGAACTAGCTGCATCATAACCAACAGCTAAAACACCATGATCAAGTTCTGTTGATGAGCAATCTGGTTCATTGTAAACACCTGATTTGTAGAATTGAAATGAGTCTTGTGAAGCATCAATAGCAACTGAAACTGGACCAATAGTAGCAATAGCAGTTTGAAGATCAGTTTCATTCATTGATTTGATATCAACAAATCCCTATATAAAACAAGAAATACTTTTTGTCTATGACTTCAATCTAGCTTAATAACAAAATACTTACAGTATCAGTGGCACCAACATCTTGTTTTTTGAATCGACATTTACCATCACGAGCTTCATATGGATAACTTTCTTCAGTATCAATACCTTTGTTAGCTTTGATATATTGAAAAGCTTGATCCATTAAACCACCATCACATCCAAGATTACCGAATTTGCCTGAGCAATCAACCAAGTTTTGTTCAGAAAGTGAAACAAGTTTTTTGGCTTGAGCAAAGTGTTGACCTTCAAGTGAACCAGTAGCTGAGAAAGCCCAACATGATCCACATTGTCCTTGATCTTTAACTGGTGTGACATAACCTTGTTTACGCCAATCTATATAAAATATTTTATGATAGTAGTTCATGTATTCGAAAAGATATCAATGTAAGAAAAACATACCAACAGAATCTGGAAGGACAACATTTGATGGAGCTAAGAATGTATGATGATCGAATTCAGTTCTATCAGTTCTAGCTGACATTTTGAATCCATTCATTTGTTTTTTGAATTCTTCATGAGTCTAAATGAATCATCATTCTATAGAATGATATCTCACAGAACAAAAAAAAAGAAATACAATACCATATCACCGAATCGATTCATTCCTAAGGTGTATGTGTGCATGTCTAAGTCAGCTTCAAGATTGTGTTTATGGATTTTAGCGAGGTTAGCTTCCCAAATGCTTCGGCTAAATAAAAAAAAAAAAGAGAAATAATAGAGTTTCTAAATGATAAAGAGTTAAAATGCTGCCAAGCATACCGATTAGCTTCCTCTTCGACAGAGTTGTATTGTTTTCCATAAACACGTTTGAATAAAGCCCAATCACTATTGAGTTGTTCATCAAGTACAGGTACACAATAGGCACCAACGAAAAGGACACAAAGAGCGATGA